CCAATTTGTAACCTTCGATTTCGGCTACCACCGGATTATAATAATCACTATTTGTGTTTTAATTTGTACTATTGACGCTAGTCAAACAGACATAAACACAAAAGTTAATTAATTTTTACTTAAGAATCATATTTGAGGATATCTTTAATATGATAATTACCCAAACATTTTCCGTCTAGGTCTGATAAAGTATATACTAGTGGTGAACGCTTGGCTGTTACCACACATTTTATGAATTTAGGAGCCAGCTTAGATGAAAAATTTTTGGCTTTGTTAGAGAGATAAAATGTACGTTTATAAACGAATTGGCCTATCTTCAGTTCCACCTGTCTTTTCCTTAGATTATAAGACTCATAACATAAATAGTGAAAAGTGGGTGTTACATTGTACAGTGGCATAATGTAGGTACACCTCTGCCTACCCCTTCGGGGATAAAAGGCGTGATGTTATGTACTAATAATATTATAAACGCAAAAGTGGGGATAACAGATGTGACATTCTACGATATTCAAAGCTGTGTTTCTTTGCCCATGACCTCGTCCATTATGTACCTACAGTCTTAATGTTATAACAAACGATCACCAAATGTAGCTTATTACGACACACATGAATGAAAATTCTATTGATAACAAGGAAAATTGCTAAAACGAAACCTTTGATAACATAACCTAAGTTACTCAAAGAAATAAGCGATAAAATTGAATGAAATGGCACTTAATGGTTGTTAGAAATTAATTTTTAATTCCACATGTGTACCAACTAACAATTTTTTGAATTGACTCGAGTTGGTAACGTAATAAATAGATAGGTATTAAAAAATTCGCTTTATGCGTTCAGTAGATTTATTCTTTTAACTCTACAGCTGATTACAACTAAAACTTTTATAGGCAATGTTATTGTGCTTTAATTATGTCTGCACATTTTTAACCTGAAACGCAGGCTTGTACCTAGTTCAGGTTTTATGTAGGTAAATTTAGACTTTCATTAGGAAATAACATTTATTTAGTAATCTGGCTTTTTACACCAAATAAACATTTATTTATTTTTTTATTTAAAAGAGAGTATTTACAACCCAAAATTTGGTTCAATCATAAAATTTTACATGCATAGATGTACCTTCTCTATCTCAGTGTGTTTACAAACAATGCATGTTCAGATGTTCGCAAACAGTTTGCTGTTTGAAACAAAAACATAACGACTAGCACGACTCGAATACCTGCTCAGTAATAAACGCATTTATAAACGAGTATGATAAAATGGAAATTCAACGAAATTGAAGAGGTTGAGACTTCAGAAGGTATACTTTTTTTTATATATATACTAGCAACCCGCCCCGGCTTCGCACGGGTGCAATATGTATATACATACAAACCTTCCTTAAGAATCACTCTATCTATTAAAAAAAACCGCATCAAAATCCGTTGCGTAGTTTTAAAGATCTAAGCATACATACGGACATACAGCGAAAGCGACTTTGTTTTATACTATGTATTGATATATAATAAAAATCATCTGTGCCGTGCCAGGCGTGCCAGCCATTCAAAAATAAAAAAACATCAATGTTGTGGCAATTTAAATTGAATAATAAAATGATCTGAACTAAATAATTGATAGCTGCATAATTATTAGCTAAGTACCTATTGATTACTTTTAAAACTATTTCTGTTTGAAGGCATTGAAATAAAACAACTGTTCGCAAGAAACCGGTAGGTATGTGCAGAGCAGCAAGGGCGCAAAGCAGGAAATTCAAGTATAAACATTGTTTCCAAGAGGTTTTGAAATGAGACTTACTTGTAAGGTTGATTGTTGACGTTTGACGCACTGAGGAGCCTTTTACAAATGGCAGCGGTTTGCGCTGCAACACTCGCGAGTTGTTGACACAATACTGAGCTTGTGTCCGCGCGGAGCGGCTGCCACTTACCACCACTATCGTGTCAAGGCACCTCTCGCTGAACTCCAGTGAGAGGCACCAGTGCGTGTACTCCGAGTAGGTACTCCGACCCACCTTAACAGCCATATTTTTGTTTTTCTGACCTCATGGTATATACTCAGGTACATTTTTAAATGTTGGATACGGATATCGTAACATCACGTGGAATCGACTTTTAATTCGCTGGTTTTTTATTAATACCCGCTTTTATGAGGTGTTACTTTGGTTTTTTTATGAAAATCTTTAGGATTTTCTTCTGTGCCGTGGGTACGATAACAAACATACAATATCACATACAAATGACAACCAGACACGAAACAACAATGTTTATGGATCATACTATAAGTGGCTCCGTGCTGGAATTGAACCCGCTACACGTTGCGCGGCAGCCGGTTGTCTAGTCACTGCTCCAACCGTGGAGTCATTAAACTTATCTAACTTAATAAGGTCACAGGTGATCTAGTATCTTAACATAATGAGGAAGTTATAATAATTACTTAGCTATCACTATCATAATATAATACATTTATAATACACAGACATAGTCATTTGTGTGTATTTATTATAATTTTTAAATACTTCAAAATTTTTAATAATGATTGTTTTTAATTCTATTAAGGTAGGCACTGACTTCTAACCTATGAGTGGGTGTGTAACCTATAAGTACCTACGTATGACCAATCATAGTTATTTTTTGCTGATATATTTTTAATTTTACTTTTAGTTTTTGAAGTCGTTTTTTTTTAAATAATACAAAATGAGCTACTACAGACAGAATTTTCAACACATTTTGTATGGAGTTTATATCAATTTCTACCACATCACCGTTCATTATATTTTGCTAATAGTCCACACGTAGGGGCGTAGGTAAGTGTGCCCTAAAAAAATTTTGTGAAGATAGTGTTTAGGCACGTATATTTATAACACCTTACATATTATTATATACATACCTATATAATATATATATTGCCTTAATACGTATATTTTTTTAAAGGGGGAAAATCATCGAATGACTGCTCCCGCCTGGGTGAGGCGGGAGGGAGTGTCAGACTCTTACTGACTAAAAACCACCCCGTTCCTTCTCCTGCACGTCGAGCCGGAGCCCCGGTTACCCGTTAGGTTCTCCGCGACTCCGAATCGGCATCGGTCCTATTGGGCCCCATCTGTGGTGGTCTGATGGCTCTTTGAGGCGCGCGCGGAAAGCGACGCGCCGTACGCTCGAGTCTGTTTCTGGTCGGACGGGGAGCCACCCCTGCTCGCCGTCCGCAGTCCCGCTCTTACGGTGGCCGGAGATCGTCACGCGATCCCCGACGCCCGGTGTGTCCTTCGCGATGGCTGGGTTGCGAGGAGGCAGCGCTTCGCTGCCTCACGCGTCCCGCCTCCTCCTTAGCTAGCATGACTGCTTCGCAAAAGGAGGAGACGGCATCCCAGTCCCCCTCGCTCCGCATCATGGCCTGCACTAGGCCCGGACGCGAGAGGTCGCCATCGCCGATCACTTCCCTGAGGGCACGGCGGTGCTCAGCCCACGCAGGGCATTCTCCCACCGTGTGTTCCACCGTGTCCTCAGGGGCCTTAATACGTATAAAGGGTCAATCAAGGTAGGTAAACAGTAAATACACAATCGCTGTCTCACCTGGCGACACCAGCACGTCAAATGACAGCACACTTAAAATTAAATATACCATCGATAATAAAAAATCAACAGATGACACATGCGAATTTACCTACACGAATAGAAATTCCCAACGAACACCTCACCTGGTCGGAGGATCCTCCTTTCCCGATCTTAGGGAACTTCACCCTCTGTTCCCTAAAGTTTGAAGGTTAAAATTTTCCTACGTTTCTATGACTTAAATCATTATTACATACCTACAGTTTATTGTATAGAGCTTCAGATGAACCTGCAAATGAGTCTAATAAAATCGTATGTAACAAATGCCTGCTTATCCAAATGTAAAGAGAGAATTACAATACAGTTAGCCTTAACAGTTAGGTACGTGCCTATGTGAAAACCAAAGAACTTCTAACTAGATAGATACCTCAATAGGCACTATTGGGAGTTAACATGAGACAGTCACACTAACTAGCCACAGACTGAATAATTCAATTGTAATGACGATCATATTTTAGTCATTAAAACTTTTTAATTACGTTTTACGATTTCATTTTCCGTAATACGTAATCGGTAAACCATAAAAATGCAGGTAAACCAGATACCTACACCCTAGAGCTTGAAGTGACCAAATGAATTGAGTGAATTTGAGTGACCAAATTTGAATCATTAAATAACATCATGTTTTTAATCCCCGACGAGGCGATTAAATAAATAATTTATTATTAGATTTATGAATAGGTACTGAAGTTTTTTTTTCAGCTATTACAATATTTATTTAACAACAGTGTGTCATACACGTGCTAGTCACCTTAAAGATATTTTTTTCGAGATTACAATTATGAAATGTATATCTATCTATCTATATCTTTTGAAGCCGAGGTGTTTGGCTGATAGCCCAACTGACATCGCTTAAAACACATTGCATATTGATCTAAGTGGAAACGCACTTATAGATACAAAGTGTACTTAAAGATATGGACTAAATAGATTCGTAAATTCATGGGCACCCATCCATCAAACCATATCAATGATGTTTAAAATGTAGTACCTACCTAGCATTGTACCTTATACAATTGGACTTGTACATGTATAGGTATATACGCGTGTCGTAATGACATCTTAAATCTTTGAAATGTCTGGTGTTTTGTATGATCAATGTGTGTATGATGAATGATTTGATTAATTGACTGCTTACTGACTTCTCTTCAAATACCTCTATCGGTACTTAAACGATAAATATGAGCTTAGGTAGGTATGTGTTATTCCAGATTATTTGCAGATGCCTACCCAATCCATCGCTGTGCCTATGATTCAATTTTTTATTAGACTTTCTTACTGCATCTGCTACTACTAAATTCAATTTGAATAATTCAAGAATCCATCGCTTGACCCTAGGACTCGCTTGCCTTTAGGGCCACTCAACTAAGGACACTGTTACAATACCTACCTACCTAAATCACTTATAATTATGTATTAGAATATCATAGTGTGTAAGTAGGTACGTAAATTCAGTGATGACACCCTAACCGAGGTCCTTTCTACAAGGGGTGACACTACAGCTATCAGATAACTAACTAATCTAATTAAAGAACGACCGGAGAATTAGAATTAGGTACATTATTTTTCCCGGAGAATTAACTACCTACTCAATTCATTGCATTATTAAGTACCTACGTACCTAGTTTCGTATTAAGATCACAAGGACCCGCTAGGTAGGTACAGATTGCTTCAAACTTGGTCCATCAGGAAACCATCGACATACGACCTACATTGATAGGGATAGGTAGGTATAATAATAAGTTCATTAGTGGAGCGTATTAGGAACGACTGATACGATAACGCTTTACTATTTTAATAGACGCTTTATCTACCTTTTACTAGGCAAAGTATTGTGTATTCGATTTAGATGCATTTTTTAACAAAGGGTTTTCGACCACTATCAAGCCTGGTGGTACTTAAGCGATGCATGATGCGGCCTACAAAAGAGCATGCATGAAGACATAAAGACCCCTCCACAATTTGAACAAGGATACCTACGATACTCGTCATAAATTGTTGTACAGGATCTATGCAAGTACAAGTACCTTACCTCCTACGTATATCAGTGTGCAATTAAAACGTTGTTTGTAAAGGATCCTCAAATTCGTAAGCGTTGCGTTGAAAATCGTGTTACCTACTGCATATTCTTTCAGCACTTAAAAAAACCATGTGGTATGGTGGTATGCATCAATTATTTACTGAACTACAAAGATTTTACGTAACAAAGGGCTCGAGATACAAACAGACTGAAAGAATGTCATACTTCAGACGTGACAATGATAAAAATTTTATCAAATTATCATGATCGCTTCTATGAGGCAATGCCGGACCCGTATATGGCTTCAAGCTGGGGCCAACTGGGTATCGTGTTACGGACATACGTAGGTACTTATATTAAACTATCTATCCTTTAAACAATGGGAATCTCGAGTGCAAAGAGAAGAAACCTTTGTAACGTATCTGTTGCCGGCTCTCGAAGAATAGGAGTAGAAACGGTGTGGTGTTTAATCAGTAAGGATCATTCGATGATTTTCACCCTCAAAAAAGGGGCAGTAGCTAACCTGTAGTCAAGTCGCCTGTAGTGTCTCAGTGCGTTCTTCATGTATTATCTCTATGGAACTGACTGAATATTTTATTAACACCTGGACATTCACATCTTCCATTTACTATAAACAGGTGCAACCTCAATTCCCTTACTTTTTTAAACTACTTATGGGTTTTTAGCTCGAAGAAGGCGTAAGGTACTGTCGGACTCCTAATGCTTTAAAACTACCCCGATACCTCACAAGTGGGTACGAAAACTACGAAACTTTGGGAATCAACTCTCTCATCCTTAAACTTACCGTCTCTCACTACATGCTTAGGACTATTTAGTATTAGCGAACGAGCATTAGAAGAAATAATACCTAAATAAATTAGACATAACCTACTTATGTCATTTTTTTTTTTTTTTTTTTAAGGGGGGAAAATCATCGAATGACTGCCCCCGCCTGGGTGAGGCGGGAGGGAGTGTCAGACTCTTACTGACTAAAAACCACCCCGTTCCTTCTCCTGCACGTCGAGCCGGAGCCCCGGTTACCCGTTAGGTTCTCCGCGACTCCGAATCGGCATCGGCCCTATTGGGCCCCATCTGTGGTGGTCTGATGGCTCTTTGAGGCGCGCGCGGAACGCGACGCGCCGTACGCTCGGGTCTGTTTCTGGTCGGACGGGGAGCCACCCATGCTCGCCGTCCGCAGGCCCGCGCTTACGGTGGCCGGAGATCGTCCCGCGATCCCCGACGCCCGGTGTGTCCTTCGCGATGGCTGGGTTGCGAGGAGGCAGCGCTTCGCTGCCTCACGCGTCCCGCCTCCTCCTTAGCTAGCATGACTGCTTCGCAAAAGTAGGTTCAATGTAATCTAAGTATATCCATACTTAATACCTGTTATAGATGCGAAAGTGTGTGGGCCTGTATATTAGTCGTCAGTCTATCGAGGCAAAAAGGAGCATAGCTAGGATTTGCGGTGTTTTTAAGTTCGAGGGATGGACAGTGATACAAAATATAAATCATCGGGCTACGACCAAAACACAGATCTCTGGACCAAAAGGAGCCGAGCAACTGGTGAAATCGTCTGTGAGTAGCTAAAGCGTTTAACTATTTTGTATAATTAAAAATTTAGTATCTAACAAACATATTTCTAGTTACGTTAAAAAACAATGAGCACATGATGAGCACAAAATGGCTCAGTGCCTAAAATCATATTTTTCGTCTAGTTACACGTAACGCCATCTAGCGAACGAATTTGTGATAATGATGCCTTTTGGTCATTGCTGTGAATGTCATTTGTTTTTGGCAGATTGTTTAAACATTTCTTGTGGATTAAACATACTCCTTTTATTGCGGGTTGGAAACCTACCAACGGCAAGTACCAATGCGACTTTTTCCGAGTTATTTGACTTGATTGACAAACGGTGAAGGAAAACATCGAGTGGAAGCCTGGGCTTATAATTTCTAATTATAAGTTTGAAATTGCATTGCATTGAGCAAGCGATGTGATTAATGCTCTAACTGCTCTCCATGTGAGAAGAAGCTTTGCTCAGCAGTAAGCATTTATAGGCTGTTGATGAATTCTAATAGTCACTTTAATTCAAAGAATGGTTGCAGTATCTTAAAAATATAAATATTTATTTAAATTACACCATTTAAGAACAGAACATAAAAGCTTAATTATTTTTGTGGGGAATGTACAACTAGGCCACCACCTGCCGAGCTGGCACTTTTAACCTTTCACCTGTCGTATGCTAGAACTTAGATCTGTCTGAGACACAATGTAATTTCTTTTGTGTCTCATACACCGGCACGGCATTCAAGAAGTTAATAAATGAACATTACTGGACATCCTCAGCTTTGTTCTTTCCTGAAAAAATATAACAATAGTCAGTGCTGGTGAGAAGCATAGTGATTATGTCTCAAGGACAAGAATGAAAGAGAGTCCTGTGTAAGTAAAATTAAATTGCTGCATTAAGAAGACAAAATTAAGGTCTAAAACTTTCATTGTCAATTCAAGGCACATTTAACAACATCCACATCCCTGCAAAAACATGATTGGTAAATGGGACACCTACCATTGATTCCTTAAAGCTGAGTTGTCATTCACACACTTGTATAAATGAAGTCGGTTAAAAACAACAACTTTGAGTTTTCTTCCTTGTGCTTCAACCATATTGGTAGGCATAATGTTGTGGATACACAGAACCATGTCGTAAACATCTTGATCTGTAAGAAACAATAACGGTCACATTATTTGGTATTGCAATGTAATAACTAGTACTAGCACATTGTTATTTGTTTGTATCTACTTCCAAAAAAAATCAAATTCAAACAGCTTCTCTTAATGTAACATTTCACCTCCGGCAGAGGTGTACTTATACTTACTTATGGTGATAAGTAAAATAAGACAAGGTTATGGTGGACCCCTAAATAGTACAAGCATTCATACTTGGGATGAAGATGTTTCATACTTTGGCACTGGCGGCCCAACCTACCCAAAGTACCAGTAAATGAATATTTATAAGTCATTATTATTACATCAAAGTTTCTTACTAGTTTAATGCAGTAAATTAAAACAACAACAAGAACAGGAACTCAAAAGAATCCAAGAATCTGTTGATTTTGATTTGATTCAATGAGTAGGAATTGGTTTCAGTTTTGATAGTTGACAGCTAACTTGACACTTGACAGCACTTACCTTGGACGGTTGCCGGCCGGCCATTCCTAATAAAGTGAATTCGATTAAAGTCGATTTAACTAACATCGATAACCCAAGAAACATTTCTTTGAACATAATAAATAATTAAAACGATACGTAAAAAATAGTTTTCGCGAACGTCATATTGGCGATAGACATAGTCGATTATTATATTCATAAAAATTATAATGCTACCATGGCTGCCACAAAAGAGAACTTTTTTATACTTTTACTTTATTTACTCGCAAGATGACGCTAGTTTACCATGTTTAGTATCTGGATCGATTGCGATGACGGTGGCAAAGTCTATACCTACCTAGACTAGCCCATTACCCATTACGCAGACGATATAATAATATGTATGTAGGTACATACACAAGTATGTGCACAAACACGGGTCTAATCCCTTACCTACCTTTTTGTTCCCTAGGTCAGACAGATGGGCAGTTCATCATGAGCGGAAATAAGTCATCCGCTGGCCGTATCAACGTGCTTTCCGAGGCATGGGAAATTATTAAATTAGTAATGAAAATGATCATTTATCATGAAATCTATTAGGTACCACATTTGGTCATCACTGTGTCTTGAGTGAATGATAGGGATGCGGGTTCGAAACCTGTCGCAAGTACTTATTAATGTAATTTTTCCGAGTCAAGTCGGTACTTAAAATAATGTACCTACCTACTTTCTAAAATTATTTATGCAGATACAATATAGGTAAGTACCTATTCAAGAAAGAAATTTTGAAAAACTTGTCTAATATTATTATTATATAGGTTTGATCGCTAACCCCCTTGAGCCAGCGTGGTGATAAATGCTAACCTTCTCTGTATAACAAGAAGGCAGAGATTTGTTCAGCAGTTGGCTATTGATTTGGTATTGATCAACACGAGAACTGAATCCACGGTACGTTGCACTTTAGCCAGCCGCCTAGTAACTGTGGCAACAGTACAGTCAGTAGTAGCTACCTATTTTTTTTTTATTAGCTTCTGGAATTGTTAATTGAACGCGGTTGCGCCTCCGTTCCCGTGGGATAATTAGTAAGTAGCCAGTGTGATAATCCAGCCCATAATCTACCCCTGTTGCAAACATCCCGATTCGTTCAGTTCACCTTTTGTCGTGATTGAGTAACGAACGAACGTACAGATAAGTAGGTACATACCTATATAGGTAGGTAAATATGGCAAACATCTAGGTATGTAACCAAAGGTAGACATTATTTATAACCTGCCTAGATGTAGACTATGCACCATGGATGGAAAGAAAAATTTATTTGGTGAGAAAATCCAATTTTGAGAATAGGCAATAAATTGGCAAAAATGTAATTTCTTATTATTATGTAACTTTTGTAGGTGCCAATACCAACAGAAATAGGTAGGTACCTAATTCATCAACAATATAATATGTCAATGCCTAGGTTGGCATCAACTGCTTACCTAAATATCTTGCGGCATCCGCAAATTACCATTTTTAGATTAGTATCAAAATACCATTTAATGCTGGTAGCCTGGAACGGTGGTAGCATTGCAATTGTGCCGAACATCTCAACCTTTAAATAGAACACAAATTGGTGTCATCCCGTCGTCAGTGAATGGAACAATTTATTCAATTGGATGCACTTTATTATTGCCTTGAATTGAATCAACCAGGCCTATTGCAATGTGAATCAATGTTCTAGAAACTTCTCATGTTCCAGTACAGTCCACTACTTGCTAATGTCTATCAGCCTAACTGTGCACATGTGGAAATGTTACGTAGCGAATCGTTACCAATAGCAAAACGAGACAAACTTACAATAATTTGTACTTTTTACACTTCTTACGTCAGTTTGAAGCGGTTCATAATCAAATAGGTACCTACTAAATTGTGTAGATACATAATCTATGTCTTTTCGATTTCGCTGTGTAATGAAAGCTTCACTGTCCCACCCCCAACCAAACTTAGAAAAAAACTAGGTCAGTAGTTTCTAACGCTAGGAGAAAAAATATATGTAGGTACATTAGGTCAGAAAGTATTGATTTTATTGAACGCGAAGTATCTACTTGACTATCTAGTAAGTCATAAGTAGGTAGATACTTCATTAAGGTACCTTTGTGTTCAAGGTAAGTTATAAATCAATAATTCTCATTTATTAAAGCACATTGACGTTCTATTTATTCCAAAGTAGAGCAGGCAGCAGCTCAGAATCTATGTGGTCTAACTAAAAATCTTTACTGTTTTAGTTATAGGTCGTCAGTATTAGAAGGTAGGCATTAGTTAAGTAGGTACTTACATACGTACAAACCAAGACAATTGATAAACAGGGATTAGAGTAAGGAGACGAAGGATTTCGCGCATTTTTTGAAGGATTATTGAACAGTTTAGGTTACATATTTTAAACGCCCATACTTAGAAATATTAAAATTATATCTACTGTGACATCACACTCCTATACTCAGGTACTCGCCATTCGTCAGGGTACATAAGCACAGTTGGGACCCAACGGAAAAGTATTGAGTTGCAGTCTAGCTGGATGTTTATTAAATTATTCATAGTTGAAAATGGGTATTTTTTTAAGGGGGGAAATCATCGAATGACTGCTCCCGCCTGTGTGAGGCGGGAGGGAGTGTCAGACTCTTACTGACTGGAAAACGATGAATACAATGAAACATGATGAATCAACCAGTTAGAAAATATTTTAATAGTACATACTATCATTTAGTTCAGAGTTCCCAATGTAGAATCTGAAACTCATGTTTGGTATATTTCGAGACTATGGATAGCTAAACTGTTGAATCCATGGAGAAATAATTTCATGATTGAATTATAATCTGTGCGCATTAGAACACATTGCAAAGCCGGGATATAAGGGGATCATAAACAAGCAAAAACATATTCACACTGGTAAAAAGAAGTTTTTATTTCTGAGAGTGTTGTTCACAGTACTTACTAAAAATTTCATTACAAATAATAGTTAAAACATACATTCATATAAATTTATAGTAAAATAATCATCATTCTTTTAAAATACACAAATTAATTGGGGCGTAGGAACCTGCATATTCTTTAATTTCTTTAAAACCATAAATTGCACAATTAAAATCTTGGATGTCCAAAACTTGTATAAGTTATTAGTTAAAAAAATACAATTCACAATCATTTTGTAGGAACAACCAATAAAACTCATAAAACAATACATTATTTAGAATAATCAAAATATCACATTTTTGATCTATGATACTATGCAGTTCCGTTTAAATCCTCCCCTAACATTACATATCAATCAATGAAGATGACAAAAGTGCAGACTTTCTTAAGTTGTAAATAGCTTCTGCAACAACAATAAAACAAAACACTCTTCAGTTGTACAGACAAGACAAAGTTGTGTTGGATATGTGGCACAGCTAGAATTAATATGCACTACTAAGGGGTGTGCCACACTGTGCAGCTGCCGGGTGTTTAGGCCTGGCTCTCATTGGTAGTGGTCTCAATGGTAGTACCAGCAGGCTTGGTGGTAGATTTCGGCTTAGCCTGTTGCTGTTGCGTTGGCGACGCAGCGGTGGCTGGGGCCTCTGCCTCCTGACCATTTTGACGTGGTGCTTGGTTAGGCTGTCCACCGGCTTGGGGCTGGCCCTGTCCTTGGCCCGGTTGGAAATTGCGTGGACGAGCGCGACGGTATCCTCCGCGATTCATGGGCCCTGGACCGCCACCACGACGTCCACCACGGAAATTGCGGCGGAAGTAGCTGTGAAATTACATCATTTTAATAAATCACAATATAAAATACTTACATGTCAAGTTAACTCCTACAATTTTGTTATAAATTAACTCAAGAGTCAGTTCTGCCACTAACCTGCGCTGTGGTGGTGCTCCGCCTCCCTCCTGACCTTCATCCCCCTGTGCACCCCCCTGGTTGGTCGGGGGCCCACGACGTCCCATTCCACCTCTACGTGGAGCGCCTTCCCCGCCACGTCCGCCACTTTGACGGGGGTAATATCTGAAAATTTTCTTTATATAAAACAAATTCTTTGAAGTAGTAGATGTGTCAATTAATAATCATCGAGATCACTTACTGGCGATGGAAGCCGCGGCGTTTGTCAGCTGCGTAGGGCGAGCCCTTTACCGGCTCACCGCCGGGACCAGTTACTCCGGCTGCTTCATAGCCTTTCTCCCCGGCAACCACGGCAAACTCCACCGCCTCCCCGTCGCCGACCGAGCGCACAGCCTTGCGAGGGTTGTTCCGGGCGATTGCAGTTTGATGCACAAACACATCCTCCTTGGTGTCATTCCTAACAGAAAAATATAGTTCCAATTTCAGAAAACATGCTAAATTATATATTTTTACAATGTCAAAGCTTAAATTAGGAATTATACAAACCTGTTGATGAAACCATATCCACTCTTGACATTAAACCATTTGACGGTTCCCGAAACTTTCTCAGCTGAAAAAAAAACCACAATTAATTTTAAGGAATAATATGATTTTTACAACTATATCTTGTTGTAAAGAGACTAATAGGTGTAAAGGCAATGTACTCTATAGGTGTTAAGTGCTCATAGGTTTGTAAATTCATTGATAGGGTAGTAGTAATTCGTATTGAGGAAATGAGGAGGGTTCATTCCAGCTGGTATCCATGGTGCCACAAGCCCATAATGAAATATTAGTTACTGATACTAGATACACCTCCCTGAGTTTCCATAAATAATTTTGTTTAGGACTTGGGGGACAACTTCTTAACTTTTAGTGGGTGTTGTGGGTAGGTGCTAAGTACAATTAAACTGTCAAACACCAAGCAGTCACCGGTGACCGCAACCTATTGTTCTATAATTGTGTCTACAAAACCGGTACTCGACGAGTTAATATTATTATTTGATTTTTAGGTGGGTTTTGGAGTTGGAGTAAGTTTTTTAAATGTAGGGTATTATTTTTCAAAAGATTTTATTTCTCAGAACAAGAACATGGATCACGCACAATAAAATGCATATTTTATTCTTAGAAAATATTGATAACAAAAACACTAAGTAAATAAAATTTTATTGAATTTATTTTATTATACATCAGGCTAAACCTAACTTCGCTGTCTTCGCTAGGGGTACAATTATCCCAAAGCACCATATAAAGCCCTAATACAATAATAATTGAACAAATTCAACTAACTTGAAGTGCCACTAGATTAAAATCTATATAATAGAATTTGTTGATATTAGTTAACATCAACAAAATCTGATTAGAACCTTCCAGATTTCTAAGTGGAAACAAGTTGCCCGTGTCATTCTTGTTTAATGTAATTACAAATTTTGGAGCAACTCTATTTATAAGTAATAAAAGCTATTTCATTGGAGTATACTTTAATGCAAGTGATGATTTGTATTGCTTTTTAGGTACGAGACCAAACATGCGCTGTGCAGCGTTGGACGCAACAAGGAAGCATCATTTAGACACACACACGTCCGAATAAGCATATACCCTACAAAAATACCCATTATAAATGTACAGTAGCTTGTGATCACGGAATACAGAATACAGTTCCGTGCTTGTAATAAACATCTACCTCCAGTGGTGATTTGATGAAGTAAATTTTTTCATCTGAACGTACATTCGCAACTAAATTATATGAAAAAAAAAAGGCTACAGCAAAGCATCATTTACACAGAACTACAATCAGACAAAAAGCGTGGTTGAAACATTAATTTCATACAAAATGGCTCCGGCCCGGTCCAGGACGCCACGCCGCCCTCCATTCCGTGGCGAAGGCGATATTATTGATTCGTTGGTCGTAACTCAGATAGGTAGGTATACCGTACTAGCGGGGTCAACACACGATCAATAACGCCGCCGACTAGAATGTCTATTTACGTTTAACGAAAATCCTCCCAAAAATATTTATTTTTAGCGCTCCAGTTTCATATTTAGGCATATTGCATAGATAATTTCCAAAAATATATAAGATTCAACAATTTATAGAACATGTGCTTTTGGTGAATTTGATGCCGGGGCACGCAAAAACTAAGATGGCGTAGCGACACTTACCAATGACCTGCTTTTGTTTAGCCGCTTTAGCTTGTTGCGGTTGCTGTGGGGGTTGTTGCTCTTGTTGCTGCTGCTGTTGGGGCTGCGGCTGCGGCGCCTTTTCGGTATCAGCCATGGTGTAATTGGCGAACGGCGATGGTGGCTAGATGGTAAATTCCTCCACGACCTCTCCTCGATGTTCACCGGTCTTAGTCGTCGTTACAATTGACTATCTGTGAAGTGGGGTTAGAGTTGAGAAAATATAATTTTATCGATAATGTCGATGTTAAGGTTTCACGTTACACTAGATGTTGCCCGCGACTTTATCTGCGTAGATTATGAATTTTAAGACATAACTTTTTTTTGGTCAATTTTCCAAAATAAAAGTAGCTTGTGTTACTAGATCCTTAGTAGATCAACTATCAGATTAGTAGCAGTCAGTAAAAGTCAGGTCAACATTGGTCCAGCTATTTCAGAGATTAGCCAGGACATATAGACAAACAAACATAAATTTAAAATTTATTTTTTGATACATAGAAGAAAGAAAGAAAAAGCATTTATTTAGCAAATGGCACACAAACAAAGATTATGAAAAATAAAAATAACAGATACTTACATAAATACAGTCATAATATTAATAACAAACTTAAAAGCGTAAAGAAAAGAACAAAAACAACAAAAATTAATCTAAGTATCGTAAGTCTATTTATATGTATGTACCTAGTTAAAAGCGGATACTCAATATTACATACAAACACTCCAAGTAAATTATGACAATACACTTAAGTATTGTAAACAAGTTACGGAAATAATAACAATGCGAAAAAACGTCAACAAAAGATGTAATGTATAATGTTACAAAATTATATTCCTGCAAGGTTTTTAATTACCACTCCATAAATGGTAGTCTTTTGATGTTATTTTAGATAAATGTTTTGGGCGAAAATTATAGCTTCATTAAATGGTTTTAGTTCATTGTTAATTCTTCAATTTGAACAGAATGATGAGTCAATTTAATAAACTAATATTCGATGAAGGTTTTTTTTATTAATTTTGAATAATTCTAATAAATAATTTATTAAATGCATTTTTCTGTAAAATAAAGAAATTATAATTATCGATATGACTTATTTATCGATATGCTATCCGCTCTATACCGTCATTGCCAGCTTACAAAACTGTTGAAAAATATTACCATAAAACACTCGAATACCATAGACAAAAGTATAATTAAATTAAAGTATCTAATACACGGTGCAGTTATATTTTCATTAAATCTCAGATTCCATTAATTATTAATGGTAGATTTTGTCGTACATAATTATTTTAAATTCATAAATTATTTTGAGTTACTCTGTGAAGAAATACGGTTCCATTTTCTTTAGGCTGTTTGGTAGCCGATAAATTCACAAAAACTATTATATACATTAAGTAGTATTTGTATAATAAAGAAAATTATAATTTTGTAACGTGAGGAGTAATAAAATATGGTCATTAGCTTCTAAAGCTTTTGAAATTGTGGAATGAACTTCTAGAAATTGCAGTGTGGCCAGTAAATAATTGTTGTCTATGGGAGACTATGGCTCATTCATAATATAAGATTATTCTAAGTCATGCTGTCCATGTTCAGAAGTTACATTTTTACAAACAAAAGTGCATATAATGACAGGTAATGTCTGCAGAATGTACATCGACTTTTCAGCAATTATGTTGTGATTCCCTTGTAATAGAGGATGACTCTATCGCCAGTAAAGTTTAATGTTCAGTTTCAACTTTTCAAGGTCAAGGCTACCGAAATTCTCATTCTAGTTTTACCTATTGATCTGACCCTAAAAGAAGTACCTAATACTTAAGACTAAAGTTTTTTTTTATATTCAACAATACCTCTAATAAATCTTATCACGCCTGTCTTGTATGTCGATGTATTGTTTTGTATCACAACAATCAGGTCCAAATCCAAACATTGTCAAGCCACAGAATACTAATCAAGCCTTGATTGTAATTTGTACATTCCAAATAGCCTAAAAGCGAAAATGTGCCCGCGAATTATTTTTGCTATGGAAGATGCTTCCGACAGAATATTTTATTCGATCTTCGTATAGATAAAAATCGAATAAAAATTTCAGATAGAATAAAAAATTCTGTAAGTTCATGTAAACAACCTATAAGAACTATTATATAAAGGCTCGGTACCACAAACATGGCTTATGAAGTTGCTGGAGTTATTTAAAATACAATTCTACGCACCTTCTTACAGTCATGTACGGGGCAGTTGAGTACCGTGCTTTGCTATCCGGGATGTAGACACATCCAAGGAGGTGAAGAACTTGTAAGGATAGTGCGAGGCCTATTCCAGGGTGAAAGTTTCAGCCCACCGTGGTTCTACTTGGCCTTGAATCCTCTAACTAGAGAATAAATCAGGGTTAGCCTATCGTTTGCGGAGACCCCTTCTCCGCAAACGATAGGCTAGTAATATCTAACTTGCTTTACATGAATGACCTCAAGTTGCTCCAAATTAGAACCAACAGAACTACTGAAAATAGCCGAAAAATTTACTAGGGCCATCAGAATGGAGTTTGGAGAAGAGAAGTAAGACAAATGTGCGGTCGTGCATGGATTGCGGAATCTGAGGGCCTAGAACTCTCAGATTTTCATGGTGTTGAATATAAAATATTCTTTAGAGAGACGTGATGCACGAACTTGTTCCTCTAGCGACAATATTGCCGATGAATGCTGCTAGCGAAATCATGAGTAAACAGACGATGTGTTTTAACAAGAGATCCTCACTGATTTCGAACTAGTTTAGCAACAGGTTGAAACCCTTGACAGGTTGAAAATCTTTTGGATGAAAATTGGTGAGGAGGTAGCTTAGAACCAGGAGACGGACATAGAATATTTATAGGATATTTTTATCCGATTCTTTTTTTACTTTTTACCGAAAATCACGAACGGTAACGAGAAAAATGGAATTACGAGTACGAAGTCGCGGGAGAATTTAGTACCTATAGTATGAAGGATGTGACGGTTGGGCATGTCAGTTGTGGTTATTTAAATAGTAGCGAATACTCGCATAGACATAATGGTAGCCAAGATTATTCATCTGCAACTTGCTTTGCACTACCGACTTGTTGAGACTGAGAGTCTGAGGTACCGTAGTACAAGTATGTACCGCATAACCCAGTGCTATAAAATGCCACGTCTATCATTACTGACAGAATTAGCCAATAAATCAGATATAGTGGTGATAGACCGACTAGCGCACTGCACGATGATAATCGATGTCGCCATACCTCATGACGAGAACGTCGTGAAAGCTGAGAAAGATAAACAAATAAAATAGCTTTATTTGGCTAACGATGTTGTCGACATGTGGAACGTGGATTTGTCTATCATTGCGCCGATAGTCGTGTCGGCCAATGGGGTATCCCTAAAAGCCTCGATATCCATCTTAGGAGGCTGGCGGTAGGCGGATAGATCAAGGGCCTGATGCATAGGCAGTTCTCTTAGAAACAGCACGTATCGTGATGACGTTTCTGTATCTGGAGCCCTTACCACCGGCTCCGGTAGGACCATGCTCCCGCTACTGCGCGGTTCCTATTTTTATATTTTTAAATATTATTTTCTTATTCTTTTTTTTAAATAGTATTTAAAAATGTAACTTAAAGAATATGTAAGATTTTTTTTTCTTTTTTTTATTTCTGTTTATTTATTTTGGGGTTTTTATCCACATGGATATGCCAACCCCATCGTACCCTTTTAGTTTTGATTACACTACCTTAATGTAAGATTTTGAATAAATAAGTATATGAAATTATAATAAAAATTAATCACTGAATGACAATGTGTTGCTAAGCGCAAATATCCAGAACAGAAACAACTTCTTGTCTGTGGTTGTACCGATGCGATTTAGCTAATTTTTTTTGGCAGGTTTGTTATTGTTAGAAGAAGGTTATTAATGTCTTACGACGCTCGCAGGGTACGCTTGTTGTTGTCAAATATGAATGTAAAGGTTATTTAACTAGATATTTTGCTATATGATATAACTTATTTCTTTGTTCTTTTAGTCATCATTATTCACCATTCTCATTATCGTCATCAAAAGTCAAGGGCCAGTACCAGTAGGTACTTGACTTGATATCTACGTAGGTATGTCGGAAATAGTTATCAAACGGATACTTACCACAGATATTATGTATGATACTTACACTTACATTTAGTTTTCTTCAAACGCCTGATATTTTCGTGATGGCAACATTATACAGAACAACACCATTTTTAAAAAAATCATTTATACTCTCATTTAATGAAAATAAAAAAAAGATGTACTAGACTGTAGAGAAACATAATTTAGTTAATTAAAATTAATTATTATCTTTACCGTCGATTCTTTAATTCGAAACTAGAGGAATGAAAATTCGATATATGAAAATATGGTTCGAAATTTTAACTCGCCTGAAAATGTAGGTAGGTACCTCATCGGTACTGACCTCTGGAAGTTCTGAGATCTTTCTATCCCTTCGAAGCTCTCTGAAAACTTTGAATTATCGAAAGTTTGATGCCGACCACTTCGTTTACGTAAACTTGGTTTTTTGTTTGAATTACTAAGTACCTTTAATGTTTTGATTTACATAGTTCAAAATATAAAGGGACTAACATCTGGCAACGGCTTTTTAAAAAGGAAGACGCTCTTTTCTTGAAGGTTTGAAGGTTTATCCAATGTGTTATTCCCTAAATTATCCCCATTTCAAAATTCACACTGATCCCTTCAGCCGTTTTGAAATGATTGAGTGACAAACATACACACAGACACGCAAACTTTCGCGTTTATAATTTTAGTAAAATAGTATTAATAAGATTGTAGTGAATTCATGAATTGTATTGCAATAATTTGTATACTTACCTTATATACCACACACACTACACACATTCACTCTGGAGCGAGCTCCTAGGTTTTTTCTTATTTCGGCAAAACAAAATATGTAAGTACCTAATAGGTACCTATGAATGGACTACTGTTCGTAAAAAGATGTTTGTCTTTCTTACCCTGCCCTATGGCGCACTGGCGTTAAATAATTAGGGACCTACGATGTAAATAGAAAGTAAATTAGTAGGTATAAGGAGTGAAACACAATTTCTCCATAGGGTTTAATGACCACATCAATTTTATTTCAAATAGACTAGGTCTATCACAAAAATCACAAATATTCAGAAGCGAAAATGTTTAATTGAGACTCTGAAGTTTAATAGATTTGCATAAAAGGTTCATAAAGTTTGACGAATTTTCTTCTACCATTTGTTCGCACATTGAAAGTGCGTCAACTGCAACATTTAATTCTCCATCAGAGTGTTGTATGAAACGCGCAGGAATATTTATACTGCCAGACGAGAAATAAAGGCGCCCATGTAATTCAATGAGACCAGACTGTAACATTTTATCATCAACGTTTGAATCTTTAGAGAGAGGATTTGATGTTGTTAGTTTTATTTCTGCACTGTTTTCTACACTTGTGCTATCACTAGCGGTTATAAAGCCATAGTTAGTTATATCTTCGTATCCGTCCACAGCACTAAATAAAGAACCATTTGACAGTTCTTTTGTTAATATCCTTGGTATTTTTATCTCTTCATCCGTAATTTTCGGGCGATTCGTTTCAATTTCTGCAGTATCGTATTGTGGCACATGTGATTTATTGATATTCTCGGTTAAGTTCGAGGTATAATCTATATCTGGGCTAGGTTTTATAGTTTCAGTTGAATTTTCGAAGATATTTTCAGTATTATGTGTTCTCAAGTACTCATCAGTTGTATTTGTAGTATCCATGTAGCTTGAGGGGGTATGAGTTATGTCGTCACTAAAATTAATTCCAGAAGTGTCTTCCTCATAGGTTTGCTGAAGATCTAGTGATAGAGGTTGTTTTATTTCATAAATGCTTTCTTTTATAAGGCTAGCAGTATGATTGCATCTATTTTGAATCTCCGTAAGTTGCTGGGAATCAGCTTTGCTATTGATATCAATACTTTTTGAAAATATGTAAATATATAGATTTATACATTCTGATAAGTTTTTTTCTGCAGTATGAAAGTTCATGAACATTCTCTTCAGGTTTTCCAATTGCAAAATGTTGCTGATTCCTGTGGTGTTTACATCTAAGTCTAGATATACATGCAATGGAAGTTCTCTTGCCTTTCCAACGTCATATTCAGCTATTCTTAGATGCTCATTACTTTCTGTGGTATTATGGATTCTTGGTTTTGAGTGCAAGTTTATGTTGAAACTTAACATGCTTAATGTCTGATCATCAAAATGTGTCTTCTGGAAAGAATTCGGTTCTACTGGCTCGTAGTATATTTCGCTGTCTTTGATAGGCATCGGAGTCGCGAGGTTTAATGTCGTTGGAGGACTACTCGGCGGATCATAAAGCGAACATTCGCACTCAGGTAAAACGATGGTTTTGTTAAAAGATCTGAAATTAAAATGATTTATATGCTATATTACAGTGATTATTATACGACAGCATGTATGTAGGTATTGAAAACGAACATAGATTTAATGACAAGAAGCTATGAAACATATTTTTCTGGCACATCTTACGTACTTATAATTATAGACAGATAGGGATACAAAATAGATCTATATACACTTACGATTTACAATGCTGAAGACAATTTGGCGGTAGTCCTACAACGATAGTCATTAATGTTATTGCGATGATCATGTACACAGTGGTCATCATGATTATGGAAAATACAGGTGTAAAGTTTCACAAACTCATTAAGAGTGTTAACCACGGCTGTTGTCGAAGCGTGCCCGTGGCAACGCGATCCGTCACAAGATTAACCAGCCATTATAACGATATTTTTAATTAAAGGGTAAATCATGGCTCAGCACTCCACACTGTCTTCAGTCAGTGTCGCAAGATACACGCTCAACAATTGAGTTCGAAGAACTCTTTGTTGCAATCGAAAAGTCATTGTAATAAGTAATGTAACTTATTGTGTTAATTAAGTACATACTTACTTACTTCCAACTAGGTTCTGCCCGTAACTTCGTTCGCGTAAAATGAATATAGGTATTCCAGTTTCCGAAACAAACTACTACATAAGTAATAAAATTATGTTACATAGATATGCATATTAACTGTGCAACAAAAAAAATCATTCAAATCGGTCTCTTACTTCCAGAGATTAGCGTGTGCATACAAACAGACAAACATGCAACCAGATTCTACTTCTACAATTTCTCGATGTTTTCTTATCATATAATTTTTCGTTCTGTTTTGTTATTATGTATAGGTATCTAAAAGATTGATTAGGTTTTGGTATTTAGTTAACTAGCTTTCCCCCCGCGGCTTCGCACGCGCTTTAGGGATTGTACCTATAAAATGATACCCGATTTTCTCGGTAGTCAAAAATAGTCCGCATACTTACCAATTTCAACTTTCTGCCTTGAAAATTGCGGAACACATACAAACATATATATAATAAAGCTGTATGTTTACGTTTAGGTGCTCCTTGTGTTTCTCCGCATTATTGTCACTGTGGAGAAAGAGTCGATGGCTTGGGACACCATGGTCTTTCTTGTTGCAGAAGTGCAGGCCGCATAGCTCGCCATGCCAGCATCAACGACAATGTCGTTACGACATCATTCGTCGTGCTCTTGCCTCAGCCGGTGTACCAGCCGTATTAGAACCTAATGGTTTGGTACGTGATGACGGCAAAAGACCAGATGGTATGTCGTTGCTGCCTTGGAAGATGGGTAGGCCTTTGGTGTGGGACGCGACGTGCGCCATCACATCTTTTAAGCACCGCTGCATGCGTTGGTGCAGCTGCTTCTGCGGCAGAGGCGTAAATATTCAAATCTATTAAGTAACTACTGTTTTGAGCCGTTTGGGGTCGAAACACTTGGGCCATGGGGTCCCAGTGCACACTCTGTGTTTAAAGATATCGCCCGTAGGCTAATCGACTCTACGCGTGACCAGAGGGCTGGCTTTTTCTTCGGACAGAAAATAAGCATTGCCATTCAACGTGGCAATGCTGCCAGTCTTCTGGGAACGTTCCCCTGTGATAGTGATGCGGACGAATACTTTGACGCCTAAATTAAGGGTATAATTTTTGTTGTATTCTTTTTTAC